AAGGGACTCCTTTTGTGGAATTTCAGACAATTCCATTGAAAAATGTGGATAAATTATCAAAATACCAAATATCGGGGGTACCGTTATATGGGGGCTATACGATATCGTGGACCTATATAAATAATTCTCTGCGAGGTATAAAGTATCCACAAGAAACTCCTTGTGTGGCTTTTCAGACAATTCCGTTGAAAAATGTGGATAAAATCATCAAAATGCCGAATATCGGGGGGTACCGTTATATGGAGGCTATACGATATTGTGGACCTATATAGATAATTCTCTGCCGAGGTATAAAGTACCCACAAGGAATTACTTGTGTGGATTTTCAGACAATTCCATTGAAAATTGTGGCTAACATCATCAAAAAAACCGAATATCGGGGGTACCGTTATATGGGGGCTATACGATATCGTGGACCGATATGCCCCATCTTCGAACTTGACCTGTCTGCAGACAAAAGAGAGATCTGTGCAAAATTTTAGCTTCCTATCTTAATTCGTTTAGACTGTAGCGTGATTACAACAGACGGACAGACGGACGGACAGGGCTAAATCGTCTTAGAATTTTACGCTGCTCAAGAATATATATGCTTTGTTGGATCTAAAATGATTATTTCGATGAGTTACAAACGGAATGACGAACTTAATATACCCTCCATACTTCTTTTGGTGGAGGGTATAAAAAAAATAGGTCAATAGATATAAATTGAGCGGGTAAACCGTGAACCCGCTCAATTATATGCATTAACTTAAATTTTGATCGATTATCGAGTGGTGCCAGAAGAAGTGAACGGTTAGTCAAATCTTAATAGTACGAACAGAAATTAAAGCTTTGCACATCTCAGCTGTAGTCAAACAATACTCCAAGTTTATATATCTGTCGACTAAATGAAAGTATCAACCTTGTTGGCAATTATATTAAATATCTTGGACTTTTCTACCTTACCCACAGAGAATCACAATCTTTTTATTTAATTCCCACGTGACCCTCGGGGATATTTCCCAGAAAAAAGAATCCCTTAAAATGTGAATTATTTTAATTCCACAAAAATCTGATTTTCAAATTATTTTCCCCCAATTAAATACCACAATTTGGTTATTGTGGGAATATTGTTTTCTTTGCATTTGGTTAAGGACTCTAAACGGATCATAAAACCCCAGAATATAAAACACTTTATTTTTCAAAGCGAAATTCAATAACAATAAATGAACTGAAAAATTGATACAATTCAAATTATTTCAAAGAAATTTATTCAAAGGTATTTTGCCCCAGCGCCCGAAATGCACATCCTTTTCTTTATTTATTATTTTTTTTTTTTTGGTTCAAATTATCCTGCGGGATATTTTAAATGTTTCGACATCATTATGTCTTATTTTACAGGCTTTTGGCCCCTTTTTTCTGTAGCATTTGTTAATATCCTGTGGTGTGAGCCACAAACAGAAAAGAACAACAATAATTTGTGGCTTAAGTCTCAAAAAGGGAGGAAAACACAGAAAAAACGATAACTCAAGGAGGAACTCCCACATTCAAGTGTATTCCGGACAATTGTTGAATTCACTTCCATTTCGTCCATTTGAAATTGTTGCTTTTGGCCATAAATACAGAGAGAAGACATTTCGGTAATGTAATTTGTTGCCTTGGCCATTACCACTCCCCCACTCTAACATCCGCCCAATTCCATGGAATTGGTGGCCGGGATTTCCTTGTTGTGGTAGCTTCCAGGCTTCCTGCCTTTTTTGAGATGAGTCTCATTATAATGGTTGTTGCTGTTGCTTGCTTTGCTTTTAATGGTAAATTGCTGACCAATTCATTTCTTTGGCTAACAATGTTGAAACGTGGCTTTTTCTGGGTGTGCAGAAAACCAAGACGAAATCCACCCTCCCTGATTTCACCTCCCCTAAAGGCTCACACAGATAATTGTATTTATCTGGGTTGTAATAGATACCACTTTTGGGTATCCTTCCTGAGAAGGCACACATCACACTCAGAAAAAAATAAATAACTAAGCCATAATACCTTGAATTCTCGCTTCATTTCCACTTCGATTTGACAGAAGTAATTTAGGCCATATTGTTACCGGACCATTGCCTTTTTCCTGGCCTGTCTTTCACAACAAATCCTATTTGCGAATGTCATTTATCTGATGTGTAATTGAGTTATTAAAACAAATCGATTCGGTCCAAGGAATGGGGTTGTGTGAGAAGCACGGCTAAGCAATGGGCTTGTGATTTATTGATTTTGCGAAATTAAAAATGAATTGCAATAGGAAATTGAAAATATCTATAAACTTGGCAGGACAATTTGTGAGGTCTTAAGGTCAGCCAATGTAAATTTTAATAACCTTTAATATTATAACATAAGGTTCCTTAAGGTGTTTGGTTCCTGAAAGATTATTAATCAATTAAAACCAGTAAAGAAAGTCCTAAAGTCGGGCGGGGCCGACTTTTTGATATCCTACACCACATTGCTAGTTTAGTAGAGCTCCACGTAACAATTAAAAGTTTTAATGGGAGAATTCAATCATACACGCTATGATTATAATTATAATTTAAAGTTCAAATCTTTTAAATTCGGACTTGCATTGTCCATTTGGCGCAAAATTAATTTGAAATCTGATAAAGATATATAAGAGCTAAATCCAAATCGGAACCGATTTCGATAAAATTTGGCAAAAATATTTCTGAGCTGTATTTGATATATTTCCCTGAATATCGTTGTTACGGAGTGCATATTACGGCTGTGGCTAACAAATACTAGAAATCGGATGAACAATATATATGGGAGCTATTGCTATATCTGAACCGATCTTCACCAAATTTGGCATACTAGCTTCTGGACTCAATTCGGTCGTATATGCCAAATTTCATCCCATTTGGGCAAATATTAGACGTTTGGTGCACAATAAAAGGTAAATCGGACGAAGTTATATATGGGAGCTATATCCAAATCTGAACCGATCTCGATAAAATTCAGCAAAGGTATTTCTGAGCTGCATTTGATATATTTGCCCAAATATTGTTGTTACAGAGTGCATATTGCGGCTGCGGAGGACAAAAATAACAAATCGGATGAAACATATATATGGGAGCTATAGCTATATCTGAACCGATTTCAATCAAATTTGGCATACTAATTTTTAGGCGTAATCTGGTTGCATTCAAAAAAATTCCATACTATTCGGGCTTATATTACACGTTTGGTGCACAATAAAAATTAAATCGGACGAAGTTATATATGGAAGCTACATATATCTAAATTTTTACCAAATTTTATCTCAATGCATAAATCAACTCAGAAAGTGATTCTATGGAGATCCTCAAAAGTAAGTATGGGTCTATCTCGCTTCCTTCTCCATGTTACAAACAATGCAAAATGCTCTTACCACTATGTGGTGTAGGGTATAAAAATGTGTGTTTTTATACCCTTCACCATATAATTAAATTTGTGATACCGTTTGCAACATCTCGCAAAGTATACATATTCTTGATCAGCATAAATTTACCGATGTCTGTCCGTCTGTGGAAATCACACAGATAATGGTACCTCTCTATATTCGATATTTTGATGATTTTAGCGACTTTATTCGCCGGAATTGTTTGTAATTTCAGTTCCTTCCTAAGTTCCTATGGGTACTCCAGCCCATGATAGATAATTGTACAGGCCATTGAATAGCACCCATATGACCCCACCTCCCTGTATTCAGTATTGTTATGATTCGTAATGGGTACAACAGCCTATGACAAGAATTTGTGTATGCAGGTCCAAGTCTTCGTATTCGTATTTTGATGATTCAGCAACGTTATTCACCGGCATCGCTTCAAACTTGGTACTGGAACATACCAACTCCTTACATTCGTTATTTTCAGATTTTAGCAGTATTTCAACTGTTTTTTTTTTTTTTTTTTTTTTGGAAAATTTTGTGGAGAGTTTTCAAAGGACTTTTTTTCTGAGGACTTGTCCAGTCATAGACTTTTATATTTTAAGGCAAGTTTTTTGTAGGACAAGCAAGAGCTAGACCTGTGATCATTTACAATTATTCATTATGGGACTGGTATATTTTAGGACTAGCAGGGCTATTAACATGGAGCTTTTGAATATTTTATTAAGAACTTGTGTAATTAGAAGGAAGAAGTTTTATAAATAAAATAACTTTGAGATTATCTTTGTATAACTAGCAGAGCTACCCGAAAGCCTTTCCAGAAAACTATGTATCTTGGAATAAGGAAATATAAAAACTATGTTTATGATTATAATCGTAGCTTAATAAATATTTAAAATAGCTTGAATCAAGATTTTCCTTTAATTTTTGAAAGACTGGTAGAGCTATAATTTGAATTTCAATTTATAGAAAAACAAGTAAAAAAGGAGTAAGTAAGTTTTAATACCCTCCACCATTTAGAACGAATTAGGATATTTTCAAAAAAAAAATAATAATAAGATCCATTAAAAATTCTGTTAAAATCTTAAGAATACCGAATATCGGAAGGTTCCGATATATGGGTGATATACGATATTGTGGACCTATATAGACAAGTCTATTTCTGGGGATAAAGTACTTAAAAAGAACTCCTTGTGTAGAATTTCAGAAAATTCCATTGAAAAATGTGGCTAAAATCATCAAAATACCGAATATGGGTGGGCACCGTTGTATGGGGGCTATACGTTATCCCGGACCTATACAGATAATTCTGCTCCAGGGGATAAAGTTCTCACAAAGAACTTTTTGCTTGCACTTCATCGGAATTCTAGCTCATTCTGTTTGTCCAATACTAAATATTAAATTTGTAGTAAATTTTAGTACTATTCATACCCTCTTAATACGAATTTTTAAAAACCTAGACTTATTACCTACGCACCAAGTATGATCCTCGTGTAAATTGCCAAGATTATTGCATCAGCCGTTTCGTCTGGGCGATGATTCCCAGTCAGTCAGTGATTTCACTACTTTTTTTATATATATAGATTAAAATATTAACATAAACTATACGTGTATTACTCACTTGCTGGATCGAAGCCAACTATAAAGTCTGGACATCGTTCATATGCCGTCTTTCCAGCTGGGGTATCCGGCCAACAAAGCCAGCCATCAAATGTGCCTGGACAGTATTTTCCTGCAAGGTAACAAATGTCATGAGAAGAAAAAAATAAATTAGATTATATTTAAGTATTTGTAGAAGAAATGGTACAGGCTAGCGTATAGCCAAATAGGGTTACAACAATAGACCATGATTTTTTGCAATTTTTTGACAATTAACAATTTTCTAATATTTTATGTAAGTCTATAGATATAAAATATAAACGCTGTACTGTCCATGAAAAAAAAAGTGGAACCGAATAATGGTGCTGAATTTGAGAGAAGCTTTATTAGGAACTCCTGAATTATCTCTGGTAATTCTTATGGGTTTTCAAAATTAAACAAAGTCCTTAATATGGATATTTATAATTTTCTCATTTTTTTATACACTCAGCCATATGGCTACAGGGTGATAAAACAAAAACTGCAACAAAGTCCATAATTTTTACTTTTTTTTCAAATTTTATTGAATAAAAGCAAAAAATGTCGGAAATATCATTAAACCTCATTTTATGACCATTCTTCCGTGGTGCGTGCTGTGTGCGATGGTGCTGAGTCCTGTTGGAAAGTCTAAGGACTGCGGCCAAAATGTTTGCTTGCCAAAGGCTTTAATACACCCTCCAGAATATTTTCGCGATTATATCCGCCATTTATTCTGATGCCACGCTCGATTAATACGAGCGGAGAGCGACCATAGGCTGTTATTGCGGCCCACACCATCACCATGGCCGGCGCCTGAGTTCTGGTGGCCAACCAACCAACGAAGGTGTACATTTTCAGCTGACCTCTTTGGCAAGTAAACACGATAATTTTGTTTGTTTACAAACTGCTGGACAACGAATGGTTTCTCTTCGGAAAAAAACCCTAATTCGGCAGTTCACTACTTTCGGTCAAGCGAAGCAACTCTTTAGATCTTTTGATTCTATTCTCTTTCTTGCACTTTTTTGGAATTTCAAAGTCTCATTTTTCAATATTTTCCGAATGGAATATTGCGGTATGTTCAGCACAGGGACATGGGTTTCGATCAAGGTCCAAGCTCCGATTTGGTCCAAGCTTGGTTCATCGAAATATCATTATAAAACTTAGATCGACTTCGGAGATGGGCAATATCGGTCGCGATCTTCTGGTACCTCCCCAACTCAAACATATCTGCTCATTTCCCCCCCCCCCCCCCCAAAGGGTCAAAATTTTGAATATCCACGAAGTTCATAAAACAAAATTAATATCCGATTCCATTCAGACCTGTCACATCTCAATATTTCTATCAACACAAAATATGTTAAAAAGATGGTAGAGATCGGACTCTTTTTGATACCTTCCCCACAAAGGGTTAAAGTTGTGAATAACCCAAACGACCATAAAAGAAGCATCAGGTTCTCTTCTTATTTCACACATCCCATTGTTTCTTCCCACACAAGGTGTGCTGTGAAGATGGCGTATATCGGTACACTCCTTCTGGTACCTCACAAAGGGTCAACTTTTTGAATATCCATAAAGTTCATAAAAGTCGAAATTAAAATCCAATTCCATTCAGACTTGGCACATCTTAATATTTCCATCAATACCAAATCTGTTATAAAGATTTATTTAGGTCCGATACGAAATGGACAACATGGACCCATACCTTCGGAACATACTTCATAGAGGGTCAACAATTTGAAGAATCATAACAGAAGTCAAAATATATTTAAATCAACGAACATTGGCCGAGGGTATAGATCTGGCGACAAAAAATAATCCTTATCGAAGTCATATCATGCGCTATCGAGCAAACCCCTTGACCCACCTGTTTCATATTGTGTTGATGTGTGATTAAGTCGATCCCAACATTCAGTTCTCAGCTTTTCTATTGGATCCGGTTGTGGGTCTGTAATTTCGATATCGGCCTCATTCTCCACGGCACCACCATTATCACCATTTATCTCACCAATTTCAGTGGTTAGCAGAGTCATGCTACTCGCTTGCATTAGGGCGGAAGTATTGGGGCTAAATTTATTCATAACGGATGGCTGATAATCAGGCAAACATCAGAGTATTTCCGGTTAAGAGAATGCCTGATTATTAACAAGGATATTGGTTTGGAACATAAACTCATCCATAAGTTTATGATTTTTTTCTAAACTTTTTAACGAGTTGGTATATTTTTTTCTGGATTCTAGCCTCTTTAAATATTCATTTTGATGGGGCCTAGTGGCAAAGTGACGCTTTAATAGTCTTGTTTTTCTTCTATTTCTTTCTTTTCTCGCTTCCTCTCTTGGTGCGTATTAAAAAGGGATTTATGACATTATCCTTGGCCGTTGGCTTGTAATGTTGTGTGTTGATGAAGTTTTTCTTTTCCTTTGTTCAGCTAAAGCTCTTGTTTATTTTTGTATTATGCAAGGAGATTTTTAGTACGAGCTAATAAATAGGATACGCCAAGACACAAACGCGCGAACGCACACGAACACACACATCCACTGCTACACACAATCTGCAAGAAGTAAAATAGAGATATGTTAAAGCAAAAAGCAAGATATCAAGTAAGGAAAAAAATTCATTGAATAATGGGGGGGGAGGGAGGTGTAAGGATTCTAGCTAGGACAAGGGTATTTGAATGTGACACACTTAAGTAACCGGCCAGCAGAAACGTAAATGACAGTGTTGATAAGTAAAGTATTTCATGATACAGCAAGATTAGTAAAATGAAAATATATTTGCAAGGAGAATTTTGTAAGGATTTTGTATTATATCGCAAATCAATTTTGAAAAGGGGATGCTAAGATGGAAAAGACCAAACAAGTAAACGTGCAACTAGATAAAGCCACTTGATAGAGTAATACAGATATTATTATACCAATAATAAAGTTATGAAAATGCGTAATTATTATACTATTTGAAAATCTGGGTTAATTCCACTATTATAGCCCGGGATGTCCTTGAGAGAAATATTTTAAAAATAGAGGATATTTCTCTAAGGTTCTTTAAATAAAAAGAATCCACGATTATACCCTCAATGTCCTTGAAAAATAATATTTAAAACAAGTAAAAAACTGTAAGTTCGACCGGGCCGATCTTCCCTCCACAATTTGGAACGATTTTGGCAATTTTTCAAAAAAAATTAAATATTTAAAATTCCGCTAACAATCTTAAAAATACCGAATGTAGCTGTTATATTAGGTCTTATACGACGACGTGGACCTGCATAGGCAACCTTTGTCATAAACTATTACAATATTCAAATGCGAAACTTGAATAAAAAAAGTCGGTGAACTAAAATCATCAAAATTCCGAATATAGAGAGGTAACGTTATTTTGGGTCTATACGAAGACGTGGACTTGCACAGACAATTTTATGTCATAGGCTGTAGTATCCATTACGAACTCCAAACACCAAATTTGAAACGATTCTGGTAATAACTGTCGCTAAAATTATCAAAATTCCGATTATAGGGAGGTACCGATAAATGGGGGATATACGAAGACGTGGACGTCCACAGACAATTTTATGTCATAAGCAGTAGTACCCGTTACGAACTTCAATTACCAAATTTGAAACAATTCCGGGTAATAATGTCACTAAAATCATCAAAGTACCGAATATCGGGAGGTACCATTATATGGGGGCTATATGTAGACGTGGACCTGCATAAACAATTTTCTGCCATAGGCTGTAGCATCTATTACGAACATCAAATACCAAATTTGAAAGAATTCCTGTGAATATTGTTGTTAAAATCATCAAAATACCGAATATTGGAAGTCCTTTAAAAAATATTTAAAAAATCCACGCTTAGTGCTCTGGAAGTCCTTGAAAAACAATATTTAAAAAATCCACGCTTAGTGCTCTGGAAGTCCTTGAAAAACAATATTTAAAAAATCCACGCTTAATGCTCTGGAAGTCCTTGAAAAACAATATTTAAAAAATCCACGCTTAGTGCTCTGGAAGTCCTTGAAAAACAATATTTAAAAAATCCACGCTTAGTGCTCTGGAAGTCCTTGAAAAACAATATTTAAAAAATCCACGCTTAGTGCTCTGGAAGTCCTTGAAAAACAATATTTAAAATATCCTCGATCGGTGCTCTGGAAATCCTTGAAAAATAATATTTAAATAATCCACGCTTAGTGCTCTGGAAGTCCTTGAAAAACAATATTTAAAAAATACACGTTTAGTGCTCTGGAAGTCCTTGAAAAACAATATTTAAAATATCCTCGATCGGTGCTCTGGAAATCCTTGAAAAATAATATTTAAATAATCCACGCTTAGTGCTCTGGAAGTCCTTGAAAAACAATATTTAAAAAATCCACGCTTAGTGCTCTGGAAGTCCTTGAAAAACAATATTTAAAATATCCTCGATCGGTGCTCTGGAAATCCTTGAAAAACAATATTTAAAAAATCCACGCTTAGTGCTCTGGAAGTCCTTGAAAAACAATATTTAAAAAATCCACGCTTAGTGCTCTGGAAGTCCTTGAAAAACAATATTTAAAAAAATCCACGCTTAGTGCTCTGGAAGTCCTTGAAAAACAATATTTAAAAAATCCACGCTTAGTGCTCTGGAAGTCCTTGAAAAACAATATTTAAAAAATCCACGCTTAGTGCTCTGGAAGTCCTTGAAAAACAATATTTAAAAAATCCACGCTTAGTGCTCTGGAAGTCCTTGAAAAACAATATTTAAAAAATCCACGCTTAGTGCTCTGGAAGTCCTTGAAAACAATATTTAAAAAATCCACGCTTAGTGCTCTGGAAGTCCTTGAAAAACAATATTTAAAAAATCCACGCTTAGTGCTCTGGAAGTCCTTGAAAAACAATATTTAAAAAATCCACGCTTAGTGCTCTGGAAGTCCTTGAAAAACAATATTTAAAAAATCCACGCTTAGTGCTCTGGAAGTCCTTGAAAAACAATATTTAAAAAATCCACGCTTAGTGCTCTGGAAGTCCTTGAAAAACAATATTTAAAAAATCCACGCTTAGTGCTCTGGAAGTCCTTGAAAAACAATATTTAAAAAATCCACGCTTAGTGCTCTGGAAGTCCTTGAAAAACAATATTTAAAAAATCCACGCTTAGTGCTCTGGAAGTCCTTGAAAAACAATATTTAAAAAATCCACGCTTAGTGCTCTGGAAGTCCTTGAAAAACAATATTTAAAAAATCCACGCTTAGTGCTCTGGAAGTCCTTGAAAAACAATATTTAAAAAATCCACGCTTAGTGCTCTGGAAGTCCTTGAAAAACAATATTTATAAAATCCACGCTTAGTGCTCTGGAAGTCCTTGAAAAACAATATTTAAAAAATCCACGTTTAGTGCTCTGGAAGTCCTTGAAAAACAATATTTAAAAAATCCACGCTTAGTGCTCTGGAAGTCCTTGAAAAACAATATTTAAAAAATCCACGCTTAGTGCTCTGGAAGTCCTTTAAAAAATATTTTAAAAATCCACGCTTAGTGCTCTGGAAGTCCTTTAAAAAATATTTTAAAAATCCACGCTTAGAGCTCCGGAAGTCCTTGGAAAATAATGTTTAAAAAATCCACGCTTAGTGCTCTGGAAGTCCTTTAAAAAATATTTTAAAAATACACGCTTAGTGCTCTGGAAGTCCTTTAAAAAATATTTTAAAAATCCACGCTTAGTGCTCTGGAAGTCCTTTAAAAAATATTTTAAAAATCCACGCTTAGTGCTCTGGAAGTCCTTTAAAAAATATTTTAAAAATCCACGCTTAGTGCTCTGGAAGTCCTTTAAAAAATATTTTAAAAATCCACGCTTAGTGCTCTGGAAGTCCTTTAAAAAATATTTTAAAAATCCACGCTTAGTGCTCTGGAAGTTCTTTAAAAAATATTTTAAAAATCCACGCTTAGTGCTCTGGAAGTCCTTTAAAAAATATTTTAAAAATCCACGCTTAGTGCTCTGGAAGTCCTTTAAAAAATATTTTAAAAATCCACGCTTAGAGCTCCGGAAGTCCTTGGAAAATAATGTTTAAAAAATCCACGCTTAGTGCTCTGGAAGTCCTTTAAAAAATATTTTAAAAATCCACGCTTAGAGCTCTGGAAGTCCTTTAAAAAATGTTTAAAAAATCCACGCTTAGTGCTCTGGAAGTCCTTTAAAAAATATTTTAAAAATCCACGCTTAGAGCTCTGGAAGTCCTTTAAAAAATGTTTAAAAAATCCACGCTTAGTGCCCTGGAAGTCCTTTAAAACTAATATTTAAAAACTCCACGCTTAGTGCTCTGGAAGTCCTTTAAAAAATATTTAAAAAATCCACGCTTAGTGCTCTGGAAGTCCTTTAAAAAATATTTTAAAAATCCACGCTTAGAGCTCCGGAAGTCCTTGGAAAATAATGTTTAAAAAATCCACGCTTAGTGCTCTGGAAGTCCTTTAAAAAATATTTAAAAAATCCACGCTTAGTGCTCTGGAAGTCCTTTAAAAAACATTTAAAAACTCCACGCTTAGTGCTCTGGAAGTCCTTGAAAAATAATATTTAAAAAATCCACGCTTAATGCTCTGGAAGTCCTTGAAAAATAATATTTAAAAAATCCACGCTTATTGCTATGGAGGTCCTTGAAAAAGAATATTTAAAGCTTCCACGCTTAGTGCTCTGGAAGTCTTTGGAAAAATAATAACTAAAAAATCCACTCTTAGTGCTCTGGTAGTTAATGCTCTGGAAGTCCTTGAAAAATAATATTTAAAAACTCCACGCTTAGTGCTCTGGAAGTCATTTAAAAAATATTTAAAAAATCCACGCTTAGTGCTCTGGAAGTCCTTTAAAAAATATTTAAAAAATCCACCCTTAGTGCTCTGGAAGTCCTTTAAAAAATATTTAAAAACTCCACGCTTAGTGCTCTGGAAGTCATTTAAAAAATATTTAAAAAATCCACGCTTAGTGCTCTGGAAGTCCTTTAAAAAATATTTAAAAAATCCACCCTTAGTGCTCTGGAAGTCCTTTAAAAAATATTTAAAAACTCCACGCTTAGTGCTCTGGAAGTCCTTTAAAAAATATTTTAAAAATCCACGCTTAGTGCTCTGGAAGTCCTTTAAAAAATATTTTAAAAATCCACGCTTAGTGCTCTGGAAGTCCTTTAAAAAATATTTTAAAAATCCACGCTTAGTGCTCTGGAAGTCCTTTAAAAAATATTTTAAAAATCCACGCTTAGTGCTCTGGAAGTCCTTTAAAAAATATTTTAAAAATCCACGCTTAGTGCTCTGGAAGTCCTTTAAAAAATATTTTAAAAATCCACGCTTAGTGCTCTGGAAGTCCTTTAAAAAATATTTAAAAACTCCACGCTTAGTGCTCTGGAAGTCCTTTAAAAAATATTTTAAAAATCCACGCTTAGTGCTCTGGAAGTCCTTTAAAAAATATTTTAAAAATCCACGCTTAGTGCTCTGGAAGTCCTTTAAAAAATATTTTAAAAATACACGCTTAGTGCTCTGGAAGTCCTTTAAAAAATATTTTAAAAATCCACGCTTAGTGCTCTGGAAGTCCTTTAAAAAATATTTTAAAAATCCACG